TTTTGTATCTTGAGATCACAGGTCTGGAAGCATTGTATTTGAATTGCAATGTAATAGTGACAATTGAACCTCGAACGTTTGTCGGGCAAGGAACGTTGAAAGTCTTGGATCTCTCAGAAAACAATATCACATCTGTACACCCAGAAACTTTCGTGTTTACTGACAATCTGGAAGAACTCTTACTCGCAAAGAATCCTTTTTTGAATCTGGAGGGAAAAGAGTTTTGGGTCAGTACACTTACATTTATAGATTTAAGTTCCTGCGGCTTGAATCGCTTTCCCATTAATTCACTTCCAAATTTACCACATAGTTCTCTACAAATAGATTTTCGCTACAATAATTTACTTTCCATCAGCGATGACTCAACGTAAGCTCAAGAATGTAATAATGAATGAAAAACCGGTGTTTCTAAGCTGTTACTTTTGTGATAGAATATAATAACGTAAATATGACAGCGGCGTGTGTTCAGTCAAGGCTCCAAATGGAATGCAGCGGAAGACAACGAAGGTGATTTGCTTGGAATGTTACACTTTCATGCAATATTTACTTTAATTGGTAGCCTGTAGATATATAAATATTTAAATGATTTCCTTTGTTGTTTTCATTATGCTGATTCTTTAAATATGAGGTGGACCCTGGTAAAATTGTTTCATGAATAAAACTAAAATCCCTGTACTGAACATGTAATTGATTATGTGGAATTTGAGGTTATCACGGCGTTGGCGGCGCTTTATCATATGAATAGATGTCTGTTGGTGACTGTACATTGTTCTAAATATGTCGCTATTTTAAGATAGCGTCATTTTAATCTTTTTCTTGAAAAGAAACCACATTAGAAACTGACTTATTATCTTCTGAGTGCCTTATCAGACAAAACTCTTCTGCCACATCATTTGTCTGATTCTATAATCTTGTTCTAATCGTCTTAAAATATTAAGCTTAAGTAAATTGTTTTTGTCTCAGTACATGTAAACAGGCCTGTAATTTATTCTCTAGTGACACGAAATGCACACAGAGTGTTAAAGAACGTTTTTGTTAGTGGTGCAGAGATACGAATGTCGCTAATCGTTTCAGTAGGCCTGCTTATGAATTAGTCACTTTGTTTCAGGCGAGTGGTTGAAGTTGGCTGTCTTCTGGGATGTTAACCGACGTTTCAGAGCCCCTTGCTGCCTCCAACATTCGCCCTGATGATGGAGGCAACAAGGACCTCTGAAACAGTGGCAAACGTCTGCTAGACTACAGAGCCCATAAGACAATAATCTAGATGTCAGTATGGGTCGTTTTTAATGTTGTCTTCCACTTTTCCATGAGGTCTGAGGTCATAGATGCATGCAACCAATTGAATCCTTTTCAGAGTCTGAATGTCATCTACAAAGGTCCGCCGCTGGACCTTCCCCTGAGATAGATGAAACCAATTCACGCTCTTGTGTTTTATTTCATTGCCCATTTGGTATGATATTTGATTATGTGTACCCAAAACACATGTAATAAAACAATTAAAGGAGTTGAAAGGAAATGCGTGGAACATTTCTGTGTCCGTAAATAAATTATTTAGAATCGTATGGTGGGTTTACACAGATTTCAAGTATTTCAGATTATCAGACGAAACAGGGATTGTCCGGCATAAGGCAAAGTGGTATTAATTTAAAATTTCTTTCAATATAATTTACCCTCTACGTTTATGCATCTCAGGTGGTCTCTTCCTTTCAAATTTCTGACCAGATCGTCACATGATGTTCACTTTACGATTTTCAAATTCCACCTGAAATTTCACCCAAATCCATGTAGTGGTCTCCAGTTGAATCTACTCGACAAAAGGGCGGATGGATGGATGGACGGACAGACGCGACCAGCAAAGAACGCATAAGAAATGATAGTAAAGGAAGAACACTTCCTTTGAAGAATTTGAAGGTTTTAGACGTGACTCAGAAGCAGCTAGAGGATGTACCGCCAGAAATATTTGCATTGCCTAGCCTTGAAAAACTGTGTGAGTGCATGCAGTAAATGCAGTTATGTTATGTGGTCAGGAGCAGAATCTGTCAGATGTGAGTAGGAATTAAAATAATATAAAGGAGATGACGGATGAATTATAAATTTATCTTGGTGTTTATAGATATGCACCTCGGCGCAGGTAAGTGAGAAAAGATTTTAAACTTCCTTAAGATAAACGAATAATTAACAAAAATAAGCTTTATGACGTTATTTAGAGAATGAATTTAAACGAGGAATTCTAGTTTCGTTCCAAAATAACCTCGTTAAATAGCGATAAACCTAATATAGGCTAGGCGTATATTTAATTATTCTCACAATGAAAGATATACACAATTAAACATCAGATTTGTACATTCTATACTCTGTTGCTTTTGTCAGTTTTGTATTTATTACTGATGTTGTTAGAACCACCAAATTTGTTTGAAGAACAGAAACTGTATAAAGGGGCCTTTCTGTTGTTTGCGTATGTTATCTATCCTTGGATTCTTTTGTGTTCTATGTATGTTTTATGTAAAAAATCTGTTTTTTATAATAACGAGTTTTATGATCTGCATTTACGATTACCGACATTTCACAAGTGTTGCTGCCTCCAATATCAGGGCCATGATTCATCGATCTGTTGCCTCTGAAACGTCAGTAAACCTCTATAAAGTTTCAGTGCGCAATAATTCAGAATTTGATTCTGTAGGGTTCTGACTATGGTGTGATACAATATGGTTTGTTGGGTTTTTGGGCCTTGTCCTTCGTCCAAGGTTAAAATGTGCACGACGTTTCTAAAACAGTGTGTGTTTTCGTCTATAGGTGTATGGGGCAGGAGCGCCTACTCAGTTTGGTCTGATAGAAAATCTCAATCACTGCCCCTTCCTAATACACTTGAAGACGAAAACGGATACGGTTTTCGAAACGTCGTGTGCATTTTGTCCTTTTACGTCGGCCAAAGAACGAAAACCCATCAAACCTAACAGTGCAGAAGACAAGTGTCTTTGGTTTTTCCAACTACGTTGATGTATGGAGGAATGGATAATATCAGTGATAATCTTAGATTTGATCTTTTTTGCTTTGTAATTGTTTTTTCGTATTTATTCTATCAACCGAGTGTTTATGTAGCCGTTCTGATTGCAGGTAAGTTTGGTAGAAAACAGGTATAGGGGAGACCAGGGCACAACGGGGCCACGGGGCAGAACAGGGTATCGGCTTTATTTCGTCTGCAGTGCTTTGCGATTTATCGGTACCGGTTGAAATACCATTAGCATACAGCACAGGGTCATGACATGCCATTCAGCGTCATTTTGTGGTTACAGTTTCTGAAATAATCACCCATGCTGGATTTTGCTCCTAAATTTTATAAATTTTTCTCAACTTCCAGTGAAGGTAAGATCTATTCATTATTTGTATCCACTTCGTTGAATGATGCATGTTACAAGGTGTTTTCTTGAAAGTCTTAAACACAATATTTTTATTTATTTCCATGATGTCATTTTTGGTGGGACAATCCTAATTTGAAAGAGTATACTCGGGGCAGGATGGGATAGGGTAGAACGGGGTACCCAGAGAAGATGATCAAATGACGAGTGCCTGTAATGTGGCGATGTCTATTCGCAGTCTATTGAAGGGTGGATCCGGTGTTCGTCTTGCTTGAAATGGACCCATAACTCATGTGCAGGTGTTCATAGTCAATTTTATATCCTACGTCATAATTATTAGATAATCTGTGTCTTCTTACAACTTTTTCAAACATATATTAACCAAACTCCGTCTTGCCCCGGGTACGGGGCAAAATGGGGTAAGTTACATTCTTGTAAAGATATTAATAACTCTTAGAACTAAACTAATAAATCATTATAAATCTCAAATAGACAAAAAAATCCACACAAGGTTTCTCCATGTGTTTATCTTTATTATTGTCCCTTCCACATGCCTCCAAAGACTAAGTTGCCCGTTCTGCCCTGGGCTCCCCTACTCATATTGACAAAAGAATAAAATACTGTTTGCGGATTTCACGTATTTTCACGGGCCTCACTTTCTTTCAAACGCTATTTGTGTTTTTAATAGTTTTAGATCAATGAATTTGGTGATGAACGAAATTATCTACCGTTCACAATCGCATTTTTCGAAGTCCGTATTCTGGAATGAGGTGTTATGATCTGCTTTAGTTCACTTACCTTCTCTAACTGAACTTAACACATTTCTTACCTTGTAGTTCTGCGTACATATATTACACAAAACACCAAATATTATTAATATTTGTAATATTACCACTAGTATAAATGAATAGAAAGTTGTTTATTTGTGTGGCGTATATTCTCTAACTGAAGGCGTCCAAAAACATTTCATGGAACAGGATTTTACTTTCGAACTTTCTACTGAAAGGAAATAAGTTTCGTAATGAAATACATTTATTAGGATTATGAAGAAATATCTGGGCAATCGATATCTTGCTTCTGTGCAAAATTAAGACGTGCTATGCAGCTGAAAGTGATCGATTTAATGCGCCCTTATCAGAGCGAAGGGACCGTGCAAGGCGTCTTTTGAGGTGTTGCCCGTCCATCCGTCCGTAGAGCTTTCGCTAGTTAGAAGAATGTCATCAAAATATACATCAGGTAAATAGGACAGTCTAAGAGTGTGAACTGGTTGTATGGAGTGTCCTGCT